GAAAGGATAGAAAAAATGAATCCTCTTTTTTATGACAAATTTTTTTCAATACGGATTTTTATTAGAGCGTCGAGTTATAGGATAGATGGATGGATAGAGACTAAAAAATAAAGTACATATATAAAATGATGTGGATGTAAATTTTTTTATTCGCCTCTTATTACATCATGTTTTTTCTCATATTTTATTACATTTTTTTCGCGATCGATAGCGTTCTAATGCAATCGACGGCTCGAACATCGCTAGGCTTACACTTTGATGGCATTGATGACGTTGATGATGATGATGAACATATTGGCGATTTTGATGCTTTTTCACCTGGACATTCCCAATATCTCGCTTTTTCACCTGGACATTCCCAATATCGCGCTTTTTCTCTCGATGGTGGTGGACTTGGCGGACCTGGTGACAAGGGACGGTACCCCTTGCGCTTGATCGATTTTCGATGTATATATTCTTTTACACGATCCATCTTAACACTCGTAATCGAAATTTACGATTGAAAGAAAAAAAGTTATATACACTGTTTATATACACTATCAGATCGATGATACATCGCGACGCGTTAAGAGAAGCGCCGATGTTCGGCTGCCAAGTAAAACATAACTCTTCTACAGTAAAATGAAAGTGATACTCCAGTGAAAAGTATGAAAACACACTGCGTTCCCACAACCCTTAAATTTTTTCGAAGAAGTGTCGATAACGATTTTTTTCTGAGAAGAGATAGCAAGAGAGATCGATGAAATGTAGCGACGCGTTAAAAGAAGTATTGATGCTGTTTATATAAACTAGAATCGCTCGCAATGCTGCCTTATCTACTTCTAAATAAAGTATGACCCAATAGGCAAAGGGACAAAGAAGTTACAAATGAAATATATAATGAGTTACAAGCGCTCAGTTCCGCAGTTGGTGTCCTGGAAGACGAACGAATTGATCGCAATAAGAATAGTGGAAAAAAGTATGGTTGATCATCGTGCGAACATTGAAGACATAGTTAACGTAATCGAGCACATTAGAAACGTGGATCCTTGAAAAAACTATTGTGAACAGTATTGTGAGCGAGACACTACTGAAAAATATGTGGGAAAACTAACGTAGATGATGTGTTGTATATTCTCGGTAATCTGTAAAAAAGAGACATAGATGCACGAATATCGCCAGTGCAATTCCTACGCGATCGTGAATTAGGTATACGTGGTGAGAAACATGGAACAGTTATCAGAGAGCCCGTTTCTGGTCTTTACTCGTGAGACAGAAAGTGTATCTACGGTTACGAGACAAATGTTACGAAGACGATGAATATGAAAAGAGACATTGGTGGAATAGAAATTTCAATATAATAAAGGATGATTATTATTGAGCAAAGAAAATCGCAGATAAGAGCCAAGGTGCATCTGCATTAAGATTCCTGCAGGTATGGAAAAGTGCGTCGAACTGCTGATTATTGACAATATATGGATGGAGTTTCGTGATCGCGATCTTGCACCAAACCTATTTTTTGACAGATGCGACGATCAATGCTTTGAGTGTAAACAATGCATTTTCGCAAACAAACATAATGAAAAAGTGTTAGAACGTTATGATTTTCTAGATATATCGCGATGCTGCAGCGTGTGTGAACGAGTCACGTGCAAGTGCTCCGTGGAAGAGTGTGACGTGATCTATAGAAAAAAAATGGAAAATCACGAGCGAGTGGAACGCGAACTGTTGGAGCAGTGCAGTCAGGTCGCTACTCTGGTGGAATGTTTCGCGTGGCTGCAACGATGCGACGAGTGCATCGAGCGACTCGAAGATCTTTGTCGTGCCAAGCGTCCGCGCCTCACCGTTGGACACAGGCAATCCGTGGTGGCAAGGATTGCGCGACTCGCGGGGTGCAAAGACACAATTAGAACGACGTTTCGTTCACGTTGGTGGTGGGTACGCGAGTCGCGACGAAAGATCTCTCGTCTGGCGAGAGATCGACGCCGTGTTTGAAAGCCATATTGACGGGTGCTGTGGTCAACGTCGATTACATCGAGCCACGGCGGTTTTTGGAAGACGCGAGAGAAATAGTGCTCCAACGTGTGCGAAACGCCGTAGAAAGATACAGTAGTGCTAAAGTGAACACTGCGTTCAACGGCGAGTTTATGACAAACATCAAACGTGACATTAAGAGTATAAACACTAAGAACCGCAAGATATATCGATACACCGATTTGCGCGAGTGGTACGAGCAGCATATCATCGAACCCAGGTTGACATCACTCGAAGAGTTCCAGGAACGCGACAGCGGATGGGCATTGTCGCGAATCCTCAATTTGGTAGTGAATGTGAACAAACTAAATCCCATGCGCGCGGGATGTTACTTCGAGGTGCCGCGGGAAATAGCGACGAATCGAACGGTGATCAATGTTACTACGATGGACAGTGCGTGCTTCGCGTGGTCGGTGGTCGCCGCTCTGTACCCGGCTGAAAGAAATGTAAATCGAGAGTCATCGTATCCGCATTATACGACAGGTTGAATCTCGCGGATATCGAATTTCCGATAACGTTCAAAGACATTCCGAAATTCGAACGGTTGAATGCGGTGTCGATCAATGTATACGGCATCGAGAATAAACAAGTTCTTCCTCTGTGGCTCACCAGTGACAAGAAGGACAAGCATGTCAATCTCTTGTACATGCAAGATCCACGCAACGACGGTATCGGCCACTTTGCGTGGATCAAGAACTTGTCGCGTCTCGTGAGCTCGCAATTAAGCAAAAAAGAGTACAAGAAATATTTCTGCGACCGGTAAGTACGCGAAAAATAAGTACATGAAAAAATTATTATAATTTTTCATCTTATTAATAAAATATAGGTAACTGTTATAATTTTTTGTTTTTTTCAGATGCTTGCATTATTTCAGCACGAATGAGAAATTACAGTCACACACAATGGACTGCCAGAAGATCAACGATTGCGCTATTCGACTGCCAAGCGAGGACGAAAATTGGCTCGAATTTGGGAACCTCTGCAACAAGGAGCGCGTCCCATTCGTTGTCTACGCCGACTTGGAGTGCGTTTTACGGAAGACAAAACCCGACAGGGAAGATGGGTCGTACGCGTATCAACGGCATGAGGTATTCAGCATAGGCTCCTATATGCGTTGTTCGTACGATAATGCGTTATCTTCGTATCAGTTCCGTCGCGATAAAGATTGTATAGCGTGGTTCGCGCGACAACTCAACGATTTGGCGCATCGCGTGAAAAATATCGTATCCGCCAACGTGCCCATGGAAACGTTGTCGAAAGAATAATAGGAAGAGTACCGTAGCGCGACGCGTTGTCACATTTGCGAGAAACCGTTTGCGTCGGACAACACGCGAGTATGCGATCATTGCCACTTAAACTGTAGATACTGCGGTCCAGCGCAATCAAACTGTAATTTAAATTATAAAAATTCATTATATATTCTGATCGTTTTTCACAATTTATCGGGCTACGACGCACATTTTATAATTAAGGAAATCGCTACAGCATATGAAGGACGCGAGAGATGTATTACCAATAACCAAAGAAAAATACATCTTCAGAAAACATGTCGATAGCACTAAAGATAAAACTGAAAATAATTTTCGAAGAAATTGTGTAAAATTAAGTTTTATTGATTCTTTCAAATTTCTTAGTACAAGTCTCGATAAATTAGCGTCGTATCTCGATAAAGACAAATTAAAAATTATACAAGACGTTCAAAATTTTCAACGCTATCGGATGATGAATTTGAATTACTGACTCGTAAAGGTGTCTTTCCGTACGAGTACGTTGACTGTGCCGAAAAATTGCAGAACACGCACTTACCACCGCGCGAATCTTTTTACAGTTCGTTAACGGACGATACCGTATCCGAGAGCGATTACGCTCACGGCGAACATATGGCAGCGATTCTCCATTCGATCGCTCGGCGAGTACAGTGATCTGTACTTGAAAACCGATGTCTTGTTATTAGCCGACATTTTCGAAAATTTCCGCGAAAGTTGCGTCGCGAGTTATGGTCTCGATCCCGCATATTGTTACACCTTGCCTGGTTTCACGTGGGACGCGATGTCAAAACATACGCGTGTAAAGTTTGAGTTGCTCACTGATATTGACATGATCATGTTCATCGAGCGCGGTATACGCGTGGTCTCAGTCAATGTTCAGGCAGATATGCGCAGACTAATAACAAGTACATGCATTCGTACGACCCATCGGAACCGTCGTCGTACTTGATGTACTACGACGTTAACAATTTATATGGATGAGCGATGTGTCAACCATTTCCATGCGCCAAATTTCAATGGGTCGAAGATGCTGCGAACTTTGACGAGAGCGCGATCGCTCTGGATTCGTCCACCGGTTACATTCTCGAAGTCGATCTCGAGTATCCGCAGCATATACACGACCGACACTGACCTACCGTTCTGTCCGACGCGCGATAAGCCGCCCAGCAAGCGCGAACATAAACTTTTTTTTTTAGCGACGCTGTACGATAAACAGCGTTACGTCATTCACTACCGCAACCTACAGCAATGTACTCGTCACGGTCTTTGCTAATTCGCGCAATCTCCATGGCTTCGCGATTACATTGAACTTAATACAAATTTCAGAACGCGCGCGAAAAACGATTTCAAAAAAAATTTATATAAATTAATGAACAACGCGGTATTCGGTAAAACTATGGAGAATGTGCGCAACCAAGTTGATGTAAAATTATTAACAAAATGGGATGGACGGTACGGCGTGGATTGCAAAACCAAATTTCCACAGCCGTAGCGTCTTTGCGAAAAATTTAATAGCCGTCGAACTGCGCAAACTCGAGGTGAAGTTCAACAAACCGATTTACGTGGGTATGTGTATACTCGACATATCGAAAGTCTGCTTGTACGAATTTCACCACGAGTATATGTTACCATTGTATAGCGACAAATGAAAAATAATGTACACCAATACAGACAGTCTTATAAATATACCGTGTCGAGTGCGAGGACGTTTGCGAGACTATGAAACGCGATATCGCTAAATTCGACACGAGCGATTATCCGACGGACAACGCGTACGGTATGCCTCTCGCGAACAAAAAAGTACCCGGTCTGATGAAGGACGAAAATAACGGTGCGATAATGACCGAATTCGTTGGTCTCAGAGCGAAGATGTACGCTGTGAGGGTGGACGGCAAGAAGGACACTAAAAAGATCAAAGGCGTAAAGAATAACGTCGTAGCGCAAACGATAACGTTCGACGATTACACGCGATGTTTGAACGAAGAGATCGAAATGACTCGTCGTCAATCGTGTATACGATCTAAACTGCACGAGGTATACACGATATCCGAATCGAAAATCACTCTGAGTCCATACGATGACAAACGATACGTCGTATCGAATTCGATGAAGACGTTACCGTGGGGACATTGGCGGATACCTTTGTAATATATGATCATATCAACATTTATATTATATTTTTATATTTTTTTTATATTTTCATACAGCGTATATGTATTACTATTATTATGCTTTATGTATTATTATCTTAATTTGTACTACTTTGTGTATGTCTTTTTACATTTTTTTAAATATTCTCATACAATCTACATACCTGTTACTATTATGTACTATTATCATTATAATTTAGGCATTATGTTTTTACGTTGTATATAAGTATTACTATTATGTTTTATGTAGTATCATTTATTAT